TTTTTTGCTACGTTTTTTTTTGAAGTAAGAGTTCAAGAAATTAAAGATTCCTTAAATATGCCCTCAAATGATTGCTTCGGCAAGTCTTATATTTTACCATGACACTCTAATATACAGTGTGGCCAACTATGAATTAAAATAATTTCTTTTAACGGATTTCATTTTATCTACTAATGTCATTTTTCCACTTTGGCTTTAACATGTACTACATCAGAATGGAATGACAGTCTATCTCTTTATATCACTTTTGTTATACCTGGAAGAATAATGAACAATTGCAAATTGAAATTTAATCTAACTCTTAACATGAAATTCCTGTGTGACTTTGGCTAAGCACTTAACCTCTCTGTGTCTTAGTTTTCTCATCTGTAAAACTGAGATAAGAATATATACCAAACCTCACAGGAGTATCAGGAGGATCAAATAAGAATGTATTGAAAAGCACTGATTTGCTTTTAATTTTAAGAAAATAATAAATTGTATTTTTTTCATAAAGATTAGCCTTCCTTCAAATATTCTCAATTAGTATAGGAATAGACCCTCAAGCCTGGTTCTACTTGGCCATCTTCTCAAAATAAGTTTTAGTTTTTAATTAAGAAATGCTACTGTGTCAATCATAACTGGTGGCTGCTGACAAGGTTATAGTCTTGAGTATTTCTCCAAATCCAAATTGTTTTAACATAAGCAACACAAAAATTTACATTAATGTGAGGTTTGTGAATAGTGTGATAATTTATTTCAACTTACTCTTTTTTCCTACGACCATGAAAAAAACTGGCCCATTCAAAGCATGTCTTTTTGCTTCCAACCCAAAAAATGGAAGGAATACCAACTATGAGAGCCATCAGGTATTTCATCAGAAAGAGAATCAGGTCTGGACGACTCATTTGAGTGACCTACAAGAAGGGAAAAACAATATCTTAAATGTATAAAAAGATCTTTATATTAGTGGCCCTTATAAAATCTCTTAAATAAAATAAGCAATAGTATAATAAGTCTACATATTTAATTTTTTACTTATAAGGTTCTATGGAAAAGATATACTCCTGAAAATCTGACAATAAATTTATATTCTATATATTGAGCCCTATATTTTTCTTTTTGGCTGACATTAGACATGTTCTAAAGGAAAATATTACTAACTTAAAAAATAAACCATCAATAGGAATACAAGTTCAAATAATACCTATATTCTTCTTGGCAAATTTTACAATTAGAAAAGTATTCATCTT